TTATACTACTGCCTCTCGTCTAGTGGTATTGTGATGTCCAGCAGGTTAGCATGTTTTTGTTTTTTTTTATAGAAGACTACTATATCAGGTCTATTATGCTGCACAGTACGATCTGTGATGATGTCAGTATCCCAGTACACTTTTACGTTTTCGTTTTCTACTATTTTTTCAGGTAAGTATTGGTAGTACGGTGTAATTTCATTTAGAATATTTTCTTTTTTGCAGATTTCTTGGTGTAGAATACCAGCCACCCGGTTGTGCCTGTCCAGATAATGCCGCGGTGCACGATAGGTACATCCAGAGCAGATGTGTTGAATTGTTTCCGGAACGGTATTGCATAGTCGGTATCTGTCATTAGGAAAGTCCTTTTTGGCTATTATGTTTAAGAAATTTTTAGTTGGTATTTGCTGCTCTTGTATAGCGCTCTCAGCTCTGAGCTCTCCATCTTCAAAAACGTTTTTTTCCAAAAAACTCAGCAATCCTTGAAATTTTTAAAACTCTTTTGATGCCATCTTCGTGAACATCCGAAAGCGCAACTTTGCACCAATTTAACCATGTTAACACCCTGTATATTGATCTGTTTGGCAATACTCTGATAAATGTTTTAATGGAAAAGATCAAAGAAATTGTTATTGCTAATTAGTGACTATTTTAAGGCATATTATTTCAACCTATAAATAAACTGGTAATGATTGTTTTACTAATTATTAAAATTAAATTAATTTTGAAGCTAACTAAGGAAGGTGTTTTAGTAGCTAATTATAAACTTTAATTTTTCTTCGCTTTTGTAGAGTTTAGTTTATTGCGTAATAAATTAGCTTGGCTAATGTTTTCGGTCTTTGTGAAACAATCATTAAGCCTTTTTGGTCATAAATTTGCGCTAAAGGACGTTGATTAGGTAAAGAAAATTATGAAATTTTATTAGAGCTCTGTTCATTAGAAAATTTAAATATTTTTTAGCATTTTCAAAAAAAAGCTCTAAACATTAATATAATATAATACTGTATCATACACACAATCGTTATACACATACATCGTACATTATATACAGGATTTACACCACAATTTGACATAAATAATTTAACTTTTTTTATCTGCACTAAGAATACAACTATTCTTATTCAGAACTTGTTTCTCTAATTTCCAAATTCCATTCGACAATAATAATAATGTTAAACTAGATATTTAATCTATGATTTTATTATGTTACACAGCCAGAATAAATTATCCGAATATTCGGGTGACATAATATTTTAGTTAAAACATCTAAGTCAGTTGTTGGTAAGTTGTGTTCGCTGTATTATATTAATGGCACTAGGCACTTTCAACAGTAAATTTTTATCAAAGCAACCTAGTGATTTTTTGCTCTGTAATATACTATTGAAAGTGCCATATACAGGGTGGCCTGAATTGTATTCCGAAAACTTCCACAGCATATATTCTGCAGATGAAAATAAGTAAACAAGTCCGTATAAATGTATTTCCTAAAATGCTTCGTTTCGGAGATAAAGGAGACACAGGGTGCTGCTGAGAAGTTTCATTGGGAGTGGTTGGGTGTTTTTCGACATGAGAAATTTGATTCCGATGTCAGTATTTACTCCTACTTGTAGGGGCGCCACCTATATATTTTTTAACTCTTTGGAAGAGTAATAAATTTTCGTCCGTACCTGTATAAAACTACCGAGTGAAGAAATACACATTTCCATCATTTTTGACGTAAAAAAGGTCTATTGGTAAAAATCGCCACGAGCAACCGTTCTCAAGATATTTAGTATAGAAATAGTCAATACATGTTATTATTGACAAAAAATAAATAGGTAGAAAACTTTTTTTTTAATTAATCATAAATTTTTCTAGAAGAAATTATGGTAAAATTGTTTTTTTATACCTTTAGCCTAAAAACATTTCAAATTTATTATTTCAATCTAATAACTATCTAGTCAACGTGTTAAATTTTTGTCAATTACATGTATTGACTAATTCGATTCCAAATATGTGAAGAACTATATATTATATATTACTTCTAGCGACTTTTACCAAAAAAACTCATTTTTTTACATAAAATACCGCGGAGATGTATATTTTTTCACTCAGTAGTGTAATACAGATGCGGACGAAAAGTTAAAACAGTGATTTTCAGCTCATCTTCCGAGGAGTGGACATCTACCTCCTATGAGGCTATACCATAGTATAAGGACTAGTAGCATATAAACTAGTAGCTTTACTCCTTGTCAAATCCTTTGTTCTTTTTCTGCCACTTTATATGACCCTGTTTTCGCGTCCCGTGACCACTGACATAGCTGTATAGTCGTGGTCTATAACTAGGCAAAGTATAGTCGTAGCACTCGCCATAGTTTCACAGAGATATATTTGGGAAAATATGAGCTCACAATAAAAAATAAATAAAAAATTGATAATCGAGTAAATATTTGCTTGAAAACAGAATAGTTTCACTTTTCGTGTAAGTAACAATTCTTCTGTATCTGAAAATCTTCTGATGGGAAGAAATGTGGAAAAATATATAATGACATATTTTTATATTATAATCTATTTCAGAGATTTTCTACAACTTTTTTTTAATTAATAACAAGTTTAATTTTAACATTAATGTGTTTGTTTTGTAGTAATAGATCGGTTAGGTGATTTTCATTGGATAACTAATATATTGAACAACACATTGTACTAAATAATAAAATAACATATTTAAACTTCAATAATTACTAATAAGCATTACAGAAATTTCAAAACAGAAAAGAAGCAAGGAACAATGAGAAATAGCATCACTACTTGCTCACATAATAAAAGAATAATTTTAATTATTGTTACTGAGTCGTACCGAAGACGGCACCGAAAGAACCGGGAATTAATAATTTCGAGTCTGAGAGAACCGGGAATTTTCGGTTCTGAACCCTAGTTACCATGTTATCAAGAAATTATGTTTTTTAACCAAAAACTAAAACAATTTGCAGATTTTTTTCAGAAAAAAAAATGCGCAAAAAAATCGTCTTATTTCTGGGGCCAAGATATACTACACCTAAAAATATTTGCACTTATTTAAGACTCACCCTGTATAAGGTGTTTCACGGTTATGGTACGTTATAGCGTTTCCGCAACCGGAGCTGTTTTTCGGAACCGGTAGTTTCGGTATCGTGCCTCTAAGGAACCGGGATTTCCAGTTTTTTTTCGGTACTTTCGGTACCAGCAAATTTTTGTTCAATGATGGTGCAGTTGGTTAAACAGCAAGCAAGGGATGGCTGTCAAAAGTAAAATCGATAAAAAATTGAGGTTTAAATGAAAATAATATCAAATTATTAAGCAGTAATCAGTCATGAGAAAATTAACCTGAACACAAACATGATTACAAATAAAGAAAAGAAATGAATTAAATTAAATTGAATTAAAAATGCAAATACTTATAAAAACATAACATAAAATATAACTGATACATTGAGTACCATTATACTAAATTACCTGATAAAAATGTCTACTTCGCTGTGCATAAAAATCTGGAACGATTTATTTCTTTATACATCTTGCAATGTTGGTATATTAAACACAGAAATTAAACGATTAAACACGGTAGCTCATATTTTTACATAAAAACATTACTATAGAAAGCAGATATTTCTACAGAATTGTTTCTATAGATGATCAGGGAATAACATTTCCAGATCTGGAATAAGCTTCTTCTAAACGTCAAGTTTGGCCAGTAATTATAATTTTTAAACTTCAGTAATAATTATTACTAATAAACATTATAGGAACTTCAAAAGAACTTCAGAAGCAAGATCAATAAGTGATCACTTCTTATTTAGAAGAGTTTGATTTTGACCGCTAGAAAGTATCAGTGGACTTTCGCATGTAACAAAAAGTATTTTTGTTATCATCTTTTGTCAATCCGTCTCTGTGCTGGGACGCAACACTCGAATCTCGCAGCTCGACGGACGGAATTCGACTGAAACGCTCTGCAATCTGTCGATATTCGATAGATTGTAAAAACTGTCAGATAATATTTGGGAGAGTGCTACTACTCTTTTCCTTCTACTATGGCTATACACCCTTCCACGATTGGGGTTTAGCCCCCCGTGCCCTTCACACTCGAAGAGCTTGTCTTCGGCTAGATCCTCCAGCTAGATCCCCCAGACGGAAAGTTATAAATCTTTAAACCAGTGAAAAAAATATATAGGTACCGCCCCCTACAAGTAGGAGTTACATCGCAATCCAACTTTCCCATGTCAAAAAACACCCAGACCCCAATTTTTATCCAATGATCGCCGTTAGTTAAGAAATTACTTGAAAAAACCTGAAATAATAGTAAAACTTCGAGACCCTGTATTTCCGAAACGGAGCCATTTTTGGACATAAATTTAAAAGAACTATTTTACTTATTTTCATCTGAAGGATATGTATGTGTAGGTATACCACTGATACTTACAAAACCGTTAAAAATTTAAAACACTTACAAATTCAAGAATTTTCATTATGATTATTGTTAGTTCCCAGCAGTTAATATGCAGATAAAAAAATCGTGGGTGTTTGGGAGGGCTTGAAAGGAAACAATGTTTTTGCGACGTTTCGCGACTTTATTGTCGCTTCTTCAGGCACCAAAACATATATTAATCCACATTATGCCTACTAACATTCATGGCGACTCCAACCGCCAACACTAAGACACATACAGACGAGTCGAACAGAAACTTGACAGATATTCTTTGGCCCGATATACACCGATGCTCGGTTAGTGTCGTCACAAACCGAGATTCGCCTGTATGTGTCTGTGTTGGCGGTTGGAGTCGCCATGAATGTTTGTAGGCATAATGTGGATTAATATATGTTTTGGTGCCTGAAGAAGCGACAATAAAGTCGCGAAACGTCGCAAAAACATTGCTTCCTTTCAAGCCTTCCCAAACACCCACGATTTTTTTATCTGCACAAGAATTTTCATTTTTTAATTATTTGCATAAAAGAGAACTAATATACAGGGTGTGTTAATTAAGAAATTGGGATGTAATATTCTAAATATTGTGCTTTCGGCCAAAAATACCATGTATAATCAAATATATTGTCCATGTTGCCCTTACTACGGTACTAAAAATTGAGGGTTATAATAAAATACAAGTTTATTCCTTTTTTTTGCGTCTTCCTGTATAAAACAAAATAATAAAATATGCATCTTTATTAACTTTGCTGTTGGACTTCTTCGAACTAATTAGCATTCACACACAGTAAGATAAAGAATGAATGTAATGAAATGTACCAACACAAAATAAGATAAAGAATGAGTGTAAGTAAATGTTTTAGCGTTCGTAGGAAACATCCTGTATATTTAAGTTTTATAATTTTTTTAACTCTTCAAATGAATGTATTCTTCGAAACATTAAGTGTTTTTTATTGGTTATGCATTTAGTTAAATGCTAATGAAAAAACTTCAATCAACAATAATACTCATCAAAATAACTGACTTAGATACTTAAATAGAAATAACGTACAATAATATATATCTACTTCATAAGTCTTAAAGCTGTTTACCGCTACAAAAATATTCATTATACAACATCCTTACTGGATAGCACCACAAAATCACTTCGTTCCGTATCAGTCCCATACCCGCATCACACGTTCACTTCACAAGATCGAGTTGATCACGTCGTTGCGCTTGACGGCGGCGTTGCCGTTCTTGCGCGACGCGAAGTTCATTAATCGCTAACACTTAGTCAACATGGTCATGTCGGTGCTCACCGTGTTACACTGTTGATAATCCGTAGCGCCGGTCACTAGGTCCGGCTTTGAGCGGTTTTTTTGAGACTTCCGGCGGATGGAGAGTTTTTGTGAAGTTCCGGCAACCTCGTCTATACGTTTCTCGATGCACAGGATGTCCTTGAACTCTTTCCAGAAGTTCTCGTTGAGGCAGCCGTAGAGGATGGGGTTGGAGCAGGCGGAGGACATGCCCATCATGTGGCAAATGGCGTAGCATACCTGAAAGAGAAATAGTTCTTAGTAAATATTGTTCAACTTTAAAAAGGAACAAATAGGTGGGAGTTCTAGTTCCTTCATTATTTTCATTATGATCTGTATAATTTTTATTATGTAGGATATATTACAAGATATGTACAGGGGGTCCCACTAAGAACAGCTTTCGGCTGTATCTCGGAAAGTATTAGCCGTAGAGTCTGCGGAAAAAAAATATTTATAACTAAAGAGGTCATGAGAAATTGCTGGAAATTATTTTCTTGTTTGTAGAACGGCCGCTAGAGGACTCAACTGCTATAAAAATTAAGGGAAAGGTGTTTTTATACAATTTTGCCTAGATAACCGGTACTATAAATAAAAGCTTCATTCTGTGAACTGTAGAAAGGCATTTTTAGAAAAACGATCATTGCCGATTTTTTGAATAAAATAAACTTTTTTATCTTACTTTTTATTATAAAGGTCATAATCAAGAGGGCTGGTGATACCGCGTTAGAAAAATAAGGTAATTAAGGGCTTATATTTTGGTATTTATTATAATTTTGCTAATAACTTTGGTTTGAAAAAAGATATCAAGATGCGGTTTTTGCTGACTTCTTAAGCTTTTATAACTCTTTAGTATGAGCTAAAACTACATAATGTACTATCGCATTTATTTTTTTTTAAAAAAACGCGTAATGTTTGTTAAATTGTAAGACATCGCCCCTAGCGTCTACATTCAAAAGGTTATTTTTATTGTTTATGTGGTATAATATAGAGTAAGAAACGCTCTTTTAAACGAGCTCACATTTGTTCGATTACGATCATCCAGTCCGTAGTTATTAACATTTAAATAAAAACAAATCTTACCTTCCCCGACCACTTTATTTTAGCAGATAGGGGAAAATAGTTCTATCAAAAAAGATCCAAAATTTATTGAAAATTCTAAAGCTATTATTTATAGTACATCGTATCTAGGCAAAATTTCTTAAAAATTCCATTTTGTTATTTTCCATAGCAGTTCCGCCATCTAGTGGCCGTCCTACAAACTTAGTTATACATATTTTTTTCCGCAAGCTCGACTAATACTTTCCGAGATACAGCCGAGAGCTATTCTTAGTGGGACACCCTGTACTGTACATGTATGCGTATATTAAAAACATATAGGACATATATAAATTATGAAAGAAACTGAAATCCGAGTTTAAAAAACTATATCTTAGTAAAGCTTTCTCTTTTATTTAGTGAAAAAATGCATTTCCTCACTTCAAACTTTTTATTTTTGTCTAAAAAGTCAGAAAATCTAACTTTGTTTTATAAGATGTTTCTTAATTTGAGGGGTCTAAAGTGAAACATTCCCATAAACTATTCAAAGGACAAACTAAAAATTAAAATCAGAATCCACGACAATCTTTTGTGGTAATTAAGCTGGCCACAGCCGGGTCTATCGTCGTGGTCTTGTATTATATCTAGAATTGCGGACCGAATATTTTCGAAATATATTTCGAAATGTCGGACGGTCAATAATACAGTGGCCGGCGAACAGTGGTACGAGTCTGGAAAAAAATCAAGACAAAACAAAAATATACATATAGTATGTTAGTTTCCTCGTAGACTGTTGATATCTTGTAGACCTCTTATTCGTTTTAAAATCTAAATGAAAAAGATTTTGATTTAAAAATTACATGAAAAATTGATTATTTTAATATTTATTTTAAGGAACAACGTATCATACACTAATAAATTATGAATACACTTTTGAAATGTTCTCCAAAAGATGGGGATGTTAAGCTAAAGTTTTTACGTAAAATTTAAATGTAACACCCTGTATATTTTACAAGAGTCAGATGCACAATTTAATTGTCTACTAAAACATTATACCATGTTTACCTATCTCTTCAAGTTTTCGTAGAAAATGCATTTTCTTATAATTTAGACCTCATTTATCAATATACCCATGGAATATTGACATTTTATATTGTTTTTAGAGCAACAAATGTACAAAATGTACAGGTGCGAAAAACGATAATATTACTAGCCCATTTGTATACAAAAAGAAAACTATTTATATCTTTATAAAAGAGTATATCATTAATTAAATATACCACCATTATTTCCGCCCAAATATTAATTAATTACATACTTAATTGTGTTACTTAAAAAATTATTCTAAATAAATGTGGATTTGAATCAGAAATCAATATAATAATAAGTTATGAAAATGAACACCTCTGTTGTTATAAATAAGCATTCATCAAAAAATGAAATAAAATTTTTAAGGTGTTTCTTTTTACCACACTGTCTAATATACATACAAAATTCAATTTTTTAGTATTTGGAGCAATTATTATTAATCAACGCAAACAGTCAATTAATGAAGTTTGGGAATCATATTGGGATTAAGACTAATGTAGTCTTAATCATCTGCTGATGACGCTAACATGGTTAGCGAAACGCGCGTCCAGTGTAAAAGTAAAAGTGTTTTGGTGTATTGTGGTGATTTAGTATTTTATTTTGTTGTATACAGGTTGTCGCAATATTCTGTGGACATAGAACTACTGCGAATATTTTAATCAAAATAAGTTCTTTAGACATAATCTACTTCCATACAAAAGTGCTTCGTTTGTCCGTTAGAGGGCTTCAAACTTTAAAAAAATAAACACAATTTTTAAGATATCTTAAGCATGAAAAGGGAAGGATAATAACTACCCCCACCTTTACATAAATTTTAGTAGAATCCTTCGTTTGTAAGTTAAACTTACAAACGAAGCACTTTTGTGCAGAGGCACAGCTTACAGAATAATATAGCTTGGACACTCCAATTTTTCCCACGCTCGAATTTAAAACGCCCCACACCGACGATGCTTAACTGAATTAAGCGAGCGACAGTCAGCCTCATTCAGTCGATGCATAACCTCTACCGATGACGAGTAGGGCCGTATTACGGAAGATTTTAATTCGATTTTTTCTTATATTTAACCATAGGTATTTGTGCTTTTATTTCAATTTTATTTTTATTGTTGGAATGGGAAAAGGTTTTCCGGGATGTGCGGCTGCTGGTTACACAAATAATTATGGAAATAATTCAAAATATAGTCTGTTTAATTTTCAATTCAATTCAAAATTAATGTTCAATTCAAAAGTATTCACACTTTAGAGCTGTTCAAAACGATAAAGACCACTTATTTGGAGGCTTGCTAATGCCAAGTGACCATTTTTTTATTTAGTGTCCTCATTGGAGGCTATTTTTATAAGCTTTGTATGTAACTATCTATGTATGTATGTATGTTTTTGCGGAGCAAATCTTGTAAGCTAAATTAGAACCACTTCCTTTTATTGTAGGAGATTGAAATTTGGCATGTAGGTTCAGACCCGATGACAATACATTTTTTGCAAGGCATGACCCGAATTTTTGACAGCTGTCAAAATGGCGGCATTTTTGAGGTTTTTGATTTTTTAAAATTCTATTTATGAATGGGTCGGGCTAAAATTATATATATATATATATATATATATATATATATATATATATATATATATATATATATATATATATATATATATATATATATATATATATATATATATATATATATATATATATATATATATATATATATATATATATATATATATATATATATATATATAGGTATATTGTGGATATATACATATGAAAAAAATATATGGACGGCCATCTTGAAAAAATGACAGTTTAATGACATGTCAAGATTTCAAAGTCAACCGATTTTCATAAAAATTGATATATAGGATGGCCATGGGCTAAAATGAAAGAAGAAAATTTTGAGCTGTCAAATTTGACAGCTGTCAAAAAAATTTCAAAGTTGTCCAATTTTGATAAAAATTGATATATAGGACGGCCATGGGCGAAAATGAAAGAAAAAAATGTTGAGCTGTCAAATTTGACAGCTGTCAAAAAAATTTCAAAGTTGTCCGATTTGGATAAAAATCGATGATAGCCATGGGCTAAAATGAAAGAAAAAAAATTTGAGCTGTCAAACTTGACAGCTGTCAAAAAAATTCAAATTTGTCTGATTTTGATAAAAATCGATATATTGGATGCCTCCTACCCCATAGTCGGTTTTCATTTTATTTGTCTCACATTTGAACTGTCAAATTTGACAGCTGTCGTTTTTTTGAAGTTCACCTTTTTTAATGAAAATCGATATACATATTATTAGGATGCCCATAGAAAGTTATTTAAGAAAAAAATTGAGTTTAAATGTGTGGCACTGAGAAACCAGCATAACTAAAAAGTAGAAAATAAATTTTACAAAAAAACATTTTTTAAAACAAACTTTTATTTAAATTTAAATACACTAAAAAGAATAAAATAAACTTTTTTTTTAAAGCTTTTATTATGAACTTATAACGCCATTACACAATTTTAATATTATATAAAAGCTTGTCGCGAGATTTCTCTACACCGATAAACAAGTAAATTAACTAAAACCTGTGTCTACCCTGTCTCATTTTCAAAGTTTGTGTTATGATAGACCACTAGACCAGGAATTACAAGATAAAGTTGTCGTACCAGATTTTTATGAGTGCAACTGTACACTCAAATCTCGCGGCAAGCTTTTATATATTAATATTAAAATTGTGTAATGACGTTATAAGTTCATAATAAAAGTTTTAAAGAAAAAGTTTATTTTATTATTTTTAGTGTATTTAAATAAAAACTTGTTTTTAAAAAAGTTTTTTTATAAAATTTATTAGAACAATTTTGAAGAACTTTTCTTAAATGAAAATATATTACGTAAATTCGTTAAATTATTTCAGACAATTAAATTCAACCATCCTTGTCAAAATTTTCCTATAATGTATATTTTGTTAAAATTATACGCAAAAGTTAATTTATTAACTTTTAAAGAATATTAATAAGAAACGCAACCTTAAAGAATATTAATAAGAACTTAAATGTAGCAAACAAAAACCGAAAGCTCCTAATTTGGAAACATTCGTAAATAACTATAAGTAATCAATGTACCTATTTCATTTTGCTGTTA